GGGGGGGGCTCCCTCTGAGTCGGAAACTGGCTACCTAGAAGAGGGGGCAGATGCCGGTGTGTCATATGTGGGCCCCCTCATGTAAAGTGGGCTTTTGCCAGGGAAGCATCCGCAACATGAGCTGCAGACACATGGGATGAAACTTCATCCCAGAGAGGATTTCTTTGGAAAATGCATCTTTTGATTTTCTTTTCCTTCCTCTCCACCCCCCACCCACACCTTGGGCTACCTCCCAGTGCTTCACCAGGACCCTCCGTGCCCGAACGGCCATCTGAGCTGACTGAACAGTTTGAAGAACTGCCCGAGACAGAGATCAGCTTTGTAAGTCTTTTCTCTCCTTCACCTCCCCTCCACGCCCTGCTCCGTCTAGAGCTGTGGGCTGGGGACCGGACAGAGTGCCCCACTCGATGACAACCAGAGGCAGCTCCTGCTTCCTCCAGGGTGGTGGTACTGCCAAATGTCCCCCCAATATCCTCTGCCAAACAGATGCTTCTGTTGTGGGACCAGGGGTGTGGCCTCTTTCGGGAGAGGTGCTGGTGGCAGGGAGGAGGAGAGCCTCGCCCTCTCTGGGGCCACCTCCTGTCTCTTCCCGCAAGACTCTCGTCCTCCCCTTCCTCTGACACCACAGACAGAGGTGCTCTCCTGCCCGACTGCCTTCTAAAACACGTTTTTCCTTTTGCAGTGAAATTATCAGAGGGGACGGATTTTTCTCCTTGTGTGGACAGGATCAGAAGGCCTTTTTTCTGCACCTTGCGTGGTCTGTGGAGTGATGATGGACCTTCCGCTTTTCTAGACCATCAGCAAGACCTAGAACTAACTCCAACACCCTCACGATAAACGGACCGGAAGGCTGGGCCGCCGCCCCCCCACCCCACCCTGCTGGTTCTGTGGCGCTGCTGCTGCCAGCGACGTACCATTTCCCGGAGCACGTTGGCTCTCTGGAAGATCCCCAGTAGTTTTGAGGCTGTGGTCGAAGAAGGGCTTCTTCTGCCTTGGGGCGGAGGGCTTGGACAGGCCACGGGCCAGGAAGGGACCGGCGCCCTTCCACGTGGCCAGGTGGCACCCAAAGGAGAGCCGGGCCTTCCAAGCTGAGGCCACCGCTCTCTCTGCCTTCTGGTTGTCCTGCAGGAAACACTGGGGTCTCTGCCGACATTGCCCTGCCTGGGAAGAGTTTGCCAAAGGTGAACATTGTCTTTCATTCTCTTCTTTGCTGTCTGAAACCTATTTAAAGTGTCTGGTTTCCCTCCCCCCCTTTATTGCTGGATCAAGGTTTCCCTTTTGAGTAAGTGGTTTTTGGTCAGGACCTGTCTGGAACGCTTTTAGGGAATTGGGGGGGGGGGCAGAATAATAGTCAGGGAGGGTGATCCTAAAAAAACCCAGTGCCCGACCTCCCTTCTCTCCTTAGATGGCCACCCACTTGAGGTGACACAAGGGCCTCACCCCCCCCTTCCAAAACACAGGGTGCTTTATCTCCAGCTGGGTGTTGATGGAGCCATTTCAAGTACATGGGACCAAACGTTTATCTCCCACACCCTTTGTGGAGAGGGGTGAGCAGAGGACACTTTTTTCTTTCTCAGTATTAAGCCCTTTCAAGGGCTCGGACTTATAAAGCCTTCTGGAAACTCCTGTTTTCTAATTATTTTAAAGAAACAGTTCCACTCCAATCCTGTGAATTCCCCCCCTCCCCGGGAATCATTTTGCTCTTTATATAAAAAAATGGCCAACCCATTTTTGCTGCTGCTGCTTAATCCAGTGGCCATTAAAATTTCTTTTTAACCGTTTTAGCAGTTGGGATGCTGTTGGGTTTTGAATACTTCATTTGAGGGAGGAAGAGCCATCCAATCCTCTGCGTCGCCTTGAGGAAGAGGCTCCTGGACTATTTGGGATAGGCATTCTGCAGGGGAAGAGGGGAGAGAGAAAGGCCTAGATCTATTTTTTTTGGGGGGGGGTTGAAATAAAAAAAATGAAATCTATCCCTGTCACCCCTTAAAAACAGTGTGTTTCTCCCTCGCTTGGCTTTTCCGTGACCTAGTGCTACTGGGGGTTACAACGGGCCATAGTTCAACTCAAGGATTTCATGGCAACGTGTGGCCACAAAATCCCACCGTAGTCAGCGCACCAGCGGGGATTTTAGCGCTGAAAATGGAAGGAGGAACGATGGGATGGGAGAGAGTCCTCCTCAAGGTAAAACACCTGCCTTTCCCCCTTAGCTGAGTGAACTCCAATTCTCTGAGTTATATTCAAGTAACTGTCTATATTAGACACTCAAGAACTCTTCGGGTATATCCTCACAATTCTCTATTTTTATTGTACCTGGAGGAAAGGACGCAAGTTTCTTGGTTTGGCTTTTGTTAATTTTTATTCAAAATGTTACTATTTATGAACTTGTATTTAAGTGTATTATCTTCCTGACCCCATCCCTTGTGGGGGGGGGAGCAGAGAAAATTAGCTCTGCAAGAGGGTGGGGAAGAGAACAGACTCCCACCCTCCCTTTTTCTATAGCATATCATTAGAGGTGTTTGCTTTGAACAATGTTAAGAAAAATGGGAAGTGAAGAGAGTTTATTTTTTAAAAGAAGCCAGCCTCCCCATTAGGCTGTCCAGAGGTCAGCTCAGCCTCATGAAGAAAACTCTGCTGGACCCGAACTCTGGAACCAGCTGCTCCTTTGACGTGGCGCCCGATGGATGGCCAGAGGCGTGGGAACCGGAAGGCGCCCAGCAGGATCCCTGCCTCGTTCCTGGCACCGAGGGGTGGGAATTCCCAAACATCATATCCATCTCAACGTGCTGTGTCGTGAATTTGTTTTCACTCTGGACCCTTGTATTGTTTTTTTTAAAAATAGTACTATTTGGAAGACTAATGGCTGCCTGTTTAAATGGACACTGAATTCCCTGCCAGAAAAACACGCCTTCCTTTTCCATCGGCCTCCTCTGTTCCTAGAAGGGGACATCAACCTGCCATGTGCCACTCAGCTCAATAAAGCTATCTTCATTTCTTTTTCGATCAGGGTGCTGGGGTGTTCATTCTGCGGGGCTTCCTGTCTCAGCGTGTGGCTGTAAAAGGAGGGATGCGGTTTTCGTGGTCCACTGAAGAGTGTGGCTAGTGGACTGAAAAATGACTGTCTGGAAGCGAGGGGGGAGGGGAGGGCAGAAGGGTCCCAGAAGGCAAAGCCCAAAGACTTGAGCTTGGGAGAGTTTGAGGTTTCTTGGCCCTGAAGCCTTTTAGGGCATGGAAAGTGGTAGATTTTGCCCAATAGAGCTTGCTGTTGTGGTGGTGTGTGTCCTTTGCCTCAGAGTGCTTTTGAATGGGTTGCGTTTGGTCTGGAAAGTGGTGGATTTAGATCCCCATGAAACTGAACTGTGTGTCTTTGGGCCACTGGGCCCCTCGACTGGCCTGGCACTGTTTTGAGTGGATAAAATGGTGTAATAGAGAGCGTGGCCTGCACCTTCAGCTCCTTGCAGAAAAGGGAGGGATAAAGTAATAATTTGCTTTATGGTTACATTAACGGGAAGAAAAAAGGGATTTAGTATGTTTAGATTTTGGTTCAGATCTCTTCCCCCCCCCCCTTTTCTGCAGTTTCGCGCCCAGCGTAGGAGAAGGGCCGCTTCCGGCAGCCGCTCCCGGAGTCCCTGAAATAGCAGCAAAGGCAAGTTGGGGGAGGTTGAGGGTTGGCGCCCCAGAATTGCTGATATTCGGCCAGGTTGAGAGCTTCGGTCTGTTGGAATAAAAACAAAACAAAAAGAGCGGGTTAGAGCTTGATGGAATCAATGCAAACCCCACAGTTGTTTCTGTGCCTTTTAAATATATATGTATACGTGCCATACTTCAAAGTTGGCCCCGACAAGGGTGTCCCCCACCCGTGTGTCTCTTTGGTTTTGTTCGGCCCTTCTGGCCCCTCACGGCCCTCTGCCTCGCTTCCCAACCACTCCCACTCCCATCGTCCCCAGTCCAAATACTGTAGATGCTCGGCCTTGGCTTGGAGCATCGATTGCCGATTTGCCGCCTGGTTAACCCCGAGGGAACCCCCTGCGTGGTCCGCGAGCAAGCAGAATCTTAATTAATGCGCTTAATTAGGGGCTCAGTCACGTCACACACACCCCGAGGGGGGGCTTCCTCCTTTTCTCTTTGCAAACCAGCCTTGCAAGGGAGGCCGGGCTGAGGAAACGCCTCTTCCACCCCGAAAGGTTCCTAGGCCACAAAACAACCACCACCACCTGCCACAGTCTCCGAAGACTCCTCACTGCGAGGACACCAAAGGCGCTAGTCCCTCACGAGGATCCGCGTCAACAGCCGAGGTCTCCACGTCGTCCCACATCTCCGTGGAGGTACCCCCCAAGTGCGCAAGCGCAGCCGCCCTCTTATTTCGGCCCCGCTCGCTTTCCGTCCCCTCGTTCCTGTTGGCTGCGGAAGAAGCACCAATCAGCGCCGGCCTTCTTGCCAGGTCGGCGGGCGAAGCGCCCTGGGAATTGTAGTTTTCTCGTCCAACGTGCCCTTACGGCTCCTCATTCCTTGTGTTGGAGTGCCCTCCAGTGGCCAAAAGGGGATACTACAGTCTGCCGGCCGGCCTCCATTACCGCCATAAATTCCTTATTTTTATTTTTTAAAGCGCCTTGCGGGGCTGTATAATTTGAAATTCCTTGCCAGGAATCACTGGTTGAAGGAAACAAGCGATCACGGTGGAGTGCTGGGTTGGTGCCGCAGGAGGGCACCCCACAATAAGGCGTTAGCTTCGCCCGGGCTTCCCGCGCAGAGCAGTATGGGAGTTGTAGTTTTTTTTACCCGCACGACTGTAGTTCGGTGACTCATTCCTATCGTTGGAGTGCTCTCTGGTGGCCAGAAGCGGGCACTGCAGCCTGCCGGCCCATTTCCATTGCACCCGTAATTTCTTAATTTAAACAAGTGGAACAGGTTTTATTTCACGAGAAATAAATGAACTGCGTAATCTTTTGCCACGTTAAAAATATATAGAATTATAAGTTTAATATTCCATATAGTGGTGTGAAGAATCAGGGTCTTGTAAGTAGTTAGGGTGCAGTATCGAGATTTGGCCACAGGAGGGCGCGCCGACACACCAAGCGCCAAGCCGGTTCCTGTAAGGCCCCAAAAAGGAGGAATGAGTAGTTCGGCCAAATTTAACGAGCGCGAATGGAGAGAAATTAATCGGTAGGTTGCAATGCCCAAGAATGGCCACGCGATGGCACCCCAACACAAATTATTTACCCTGTGAACTTGAAGAACCAAGTATCTTGTATTGGAGTGCCCTCCTGTGGCCACACCTCGCTACTGCAGCCTGACATCCAGTCTCCCTTTTCCCACTTTATTTTTGCCACAGCGCTAATTCCTTCATTCCTTGTGTTGGGGTGCCATCGCGTGGCCATTCTTGGGCATTGCAACCTGCCGATTAATTTCTCTCCATTCACGCTCGTTCATTTGGCCGAACTACTCATTCCTCCTTTTTGGGGCCTTACGGGAACCGGCTTGGCGCTTGGTGTGTCGGCGCGCCCTCCTGTGGCCAAATCTCGCTACTGCACCCTGACCACTTAAAACCGCGAGACTTCATAACTCAGTTAGAGGAAGTCCCGCCTGCTAATTCTCCATCGAATAAACATACAGTACTATATATTATAAAACCCAGAAAGTGTCAGTTTCTTCGTTCTTTTGACCAGTAAAAACTCAGAAACGCTGAGAGCCGAAAGCACGAAATGTTTTCCACTTAAATAAATGGCGTGGCAACCTCTCCACTTTCCACGGAGGATGCTGGAATATTTTTCACGAGACCTTTAGGTCTCAGACGTTAGTAGAAACACCCACGAAAATCGGAATTTCACACAAATCCTATTGAAATTAAATAACAGGGTGGGCTTCGTCCGGATCGGTTTGGTGTCCTGAGGGATGCTGGGAGTTGTAGTTTTTCCTCACACCAAATAGTCGGCGGTAGATACCGTCTGTTTCCCCGCGAATATTTTTTATTTGACCTTAGAATAAACGGGACAGTTTGCCCGTCGGCTAGTTTCAGGCCGGAAAAAAAAAATCGATCTCTGGGGATGCTGGGCGCTGTAGTCCTTCCCTGCGTCCCGCCGTCGGCAGAGCCCATTCCTTGCCCTGTGGAAACCCCGCCCCGCGTCGACCCCAGCGCCCGCCCAAACGTGTTACTTTGCTGCCCTCCCGTGGCCACTCTCCGCTATTGCATCCTGCCCACTCGCCGGGCCATGGGCGGAGCTAATGTCTTGGCGGCCAATAGGAGACCGCTGGTCTTCCCCCTTTTTACTCTATATGGAGTCTTCATTCCTTGCGTTGGGGTGCCATCGTGTGGCCATTCTTGGGCATTGCACCCTGCCGTTTAATTTCTCTCCATTCATGCTCGTTAAATTTGGCCGAACTACTCATTCCTCCTTTTTGGGGCCTTACAGGAATTGCCTTCGCGCTTGGTGTGTCGGCGCGCCCTCCTGTGGCCAAATCTCGCTACTGCACCCTGACCACTTAAAACCGCGAGACTTCATAACGCGGTGGAGAATACGAAGCTCAATTCTACGTATTTCCTTTTTTTACCTAGCAAAAGCTCACGCGGGCCATTTATTTCGCGTGAAATAAAACCTGCCCCCCTTTTTAGAGTGACGCGGAACTCCTTTTTTTAAATTAAGACCTTACAGGCGCAACGGCCAAGGACTAGCAGGCTGCAGTGACCGATTGTGGCCACAGGAGGGCACCCCATAACACGTTCTTTGGTCCGTCTATGTAACCGGGCGAAAGACTTGTGTTGGGGTGCCATCGCGTGGCCATTCTTGGTCATTGCAACCTACCGATTAATTTCTCTCCATTCACGCTCGTTAAATTTGGCCGAACTACTCATTCCTCCTTTTTGGGGCCTTAGTGGAACCGGCTTGGCGCTTGGTGTGTTGGCGCGCCCTCCTGTGGCCAAATCTCGCTACTGCACCTCGACGCTTGTTTTCCCACGTTAAGGGCCTTAACGGCTACAGGGGAAAACTACACGTCCCAGTACGCTTTGCGGGCCGACCTGCCAAGAAGGGCCGCGCTTATTGCTGGA